CTTGATTGGAGAGGGCTCGGCTCGACGTACATCTTGTGGCGGAGCCTTCTCTATCGTCTTGGGTGATGATTCGGGGACATTTCGGGATTGCAGACGCTCTTGCACGGATCCTTGGTAACCTGCCGAGTACCCGGCGGCTGTCTCCTTTGTAGCTGAGGGATCGGCCGCGGTGGCCTTTGGGGTCGAGATTGTATTGAGGGAGGATCGACGGGCGACTTTTCGGTCGCCTGCAGAGCTGTGGTGGGCATGGGCTGGCGACGCGTCACCCACCGGGCCTTTGGAAGGGTTGTTACCCATCGAAGGCGGGGAAAGGTGTGATAACTTTGGGCTAATTTTTTGCTGGGAGTTGGGGAAAGAGGAGGGTCGAACTAGGTCACAATGGCGGGCTGAAGAAAGACACCTTCCGATGCTAGCTCAAAAGTAGGGATTGGCGGTGGACAGTAATCAAAGTCGATTGATGTACTCACATTGTCGAAGTACAGTAGACGCCGATGATGCCGGAAGCCTAATCCGGTAATATAGGGCTTAGGGCTTGGCAGTTGGGACCGCAGCGCGTGTTACTTGGACATCATAACAGAGTTGAGATGCATAGATTGGTTTGCCACATACCTTCATAATAATCATGGGCTGGATATCGATCTTGAAATATTCTGTGTTGCTCGTTCTTGGCTTTACAATCCAATTACTGTCTTACTTGTTGTCAACACTTCTCTTCCTCGCATCGCCAGTGATCTACATCAGACATGTCGTCTTATACCTGGCTCTGCTTCCATTGCGTATCCTCATTAAGCTAGAGGTATGTTATGAGATAGACATCTATGCTATCACATGTGTCCATATCGTAGCTACTCCAGGGCCTGTTGGCACACTTACTAAGCTCTGATAGGCATTCATCTATTTCATGACAGGGGCGGTGCTTGTCGGAGCCACTGTAGGCGTGATCCTGCATTTTACCGGTAGCACCATATCACAAGTCTTGCAAATCGAAGCGTCAGATGAGCCACGTCAGCTTCGTGTGAAACAGGAGTATCTAAATTCTGAACCCCAGAATCCATCCTTCGACTACCTAGAAGCACAGACAGAGCATCACAAGTTCCTGCCCTACTCGATGATCTTGGAGGAGGAAGAGAACAGCCATGAGTCAGGCTGATGTACAGATATCTAGTGCATAATATTAATGAGTTTGCCAGCCATGGCGGGCCAGATACAAACTTGTCATCAAACTGCCAAGGATCCCACTAGGCAATGGAGGCGACTTGTCCAATCTTTGCACGACATTATATTCCACTTAGGACAGAAACTACTAATATACTGACTTCGCGGTCCGGTGGACCAGGATCCAGTATTGCCTAATTGGGCCACATTTGCGACCCAGCCAATCACATCATCCGAATCTAGTCTCCAAAAATACAAGGTACGATGTATATAAAATCCTCGAAATCCATTCGAGTCGCTTTTATCCTTCTTGCATTCCTCAATCTCCCTTCTTTACACTGCCAAGCCCAGTCCAAAATGGTCCGAATTAACGCGTTCGCCGTGGAGCAAGTAAGCAACCCTCAAGCCCCATTCCACCGCAACCCCAAAACCAATCAACGTACCTATTTAGATAGAAACTAACATCAAAAAGTGGATGGATCTCTACGAAACCAGTGCAAAGCATAACCTCGCAGAAACATGCTGCGCGTCCATCTCCCTCAATGACCTGCTAGTCCTGTGCCCGAAAAAAGATCTGGTGGACTACACGCAGAAGCAAGTCTACGGCGCGATCCGTGGTTCCGAGTCACTGAGGACCAACATTGCAAACTTGTATTCGCAATCTGGATCTACCGAGGCCAGCCCCGTCTCTGCTGGTCGAGTCCTCGTCACAAACGGTGCCATCCAGGCTAATTTCTTGGCGCTGTATACTCATGTCGGGCCGGAGGACCATGTCATTTGTCAGTATCCGACATACCAACAATTATACTCTGTTCCTGAGTCATTTGGGGCGGAGGTTAGTTTGTGGCGGTCGGACGAGGGGAATGGGTGGGGGATGGATTTGGGCAAGTTGAGGTCTTTGGTTAGGCCGAACACGAGGATGATTATCTTAAAGTACGTATGGCTTTTGGTGGCCTATTGACTGTATCTTTACTGACTGGAATCTATAGCAACCCCCAGAATCCCACTGGGGCGATTCTTCGTCGTGAGGAATTGCAGGGAATCGTTGATATCGCGCGTGAGCATGGTATTCTAATTCATTCTGATGAGGTGTATCGACCTCTGTTCCATTCTCTCGACTCTGATCAAGAAGTTCCTCCGTCTATTCTTGAATTTGGGTATGAGAATGTCATTGCAACCGGTTCCATGTCCAAAGCTTTCAGCTTGGCCGGGATCCGACTGGGTTGGATTGCTTCGCCCAATCCTGAGATTATCGAAGCTTGTGCCTCTGCTCGTGATTACACTCTCATCTCGGTTGGACAGATTGATGATAGCGTGGCAGCTCATGCGTTGTCCAGTCCGTGTGTGGAAAACTTGTTGCAGCGCAATCTTCGCCTGTCTCGGCAGAATCTCAAGGTCCTTGAGACATTCATTAAAGAGTACAGTTGGGCCATGAAGTGGACAAAACCGAAAGCTGGAACGACTGCGTTCATAAAATTTGTTGACAGGGAAGGGAGGGCAATTGACGATGTCGTATTTTGTCAGCGACTCCAGGAACTGACCGGGGTGATGCTGGTCCCTGGAAGCCAGTGCTTCGGGGGTGGCGTGGACTTCCGCGGATATGTGAGATTGGGCTATGTCCAGGAAACCCAGGTAATAGTTGATGGGTTGAACACTCTGAGACAGTTTATGAGTGATGAGTATGAGAAATTGCCGCTGGCTTGCTGAGGACACTTGGATCACCTAGAATAGTACCAATTCCAATCCAAGGTTCGTAAAATAGATGTCCCAGGACAAGGATGTCTCGGATGCCCAAAACTTAGTCAGAAGCTCTCGTGCTCTTGTAAAGTTTCCCATCCCAAGACTTTGCATGTCGCCCATCCGGTTGTTGATAAACTCACGTTCCTTGGTGTCGTCGGTTTCGCAGCCAACACTGAACATGGGCCAAAGGATCAATATATTCGCAGAAGAGAACGGTGGGATGCCTTCCACTGCGGCTATGATATTCCTGACGTCCTCGTTCACGGTCTCATTGTTTCTTGGAAGTGTTTGGACTCGCCGGTGGAGATGTAATAAAGCAGAGTGTACAAAGGCAAGATGTGTACTCTGCAGCTCAAGGGAATCTCCACTAGAAACACTGCACTCAACAAGGGAAAGAATCTCAATCTCAAGCCTTTGAGCTTCTGCCAAGAAGTCTTGTTGCATTCCAGGGCCAGTCTGACATTGGCGTTGCAGCAACTGAGATAGCCGCGCAAGCAGCGGAGCCAACTTCAAGGAGTATCCACATATATCGTCGACATGCGGGTTTAGTAGATTAAAAGACCTATTCAGTAGCCTAGTATCAGAGCCCATCACACCACTAGTACCCGATCCTGATAAACCCGCGAGAACATCCATCGTTGTGGACCATTTGACCAAACATTGGACGTAAGGATCGTTCATGCGGGGTGTTCCTTGACTATCCAAAAAGGCACCCAAAAGACGCATTACTCCACCAAGATGAGTCCGCCATGTCTGCATATTCCCATTGCACACATCATTAGTGCACAGGGCCATCGCCGTCGTGGCAGTCTCAGCTGTCAGTTTTGCATTCGTTTCACTGAGAGCCGAGCGCAGGCTGGAAATCGACAAGTTTGTAAACCTCAAGCAGGACACCCGTGAATTTGGTCCTGTATCTTGGACAAGTCGGCTGTGGTGGCTGCAGGCAGATGCGAGAAGGGCGTAGAGAAGGTGCGGTGTCTCTAGGGAACTTGCAATGATTCTTTGCAGGAAGAGCGCTGGAGCTGCGGGGAAGAGCCGCGGGGCGGTTTCGGTGTTAAAGATGTGCATGAAAAATTGAGATTCTTTTGATGATAAAAATGGTGATAGGTTTAGAACAGGCTGTTGAGCGATAGGGTTTAGGCTCTGGTTGAGGCTCTCATTGCGACGATTCGCTTCACTTGGCCTTGTGCGAGTAACGACATTCCGGTTGATGATCTTGATATCATATTTGCACTCTTTGGGAAACCGGGTGCAGCGCGAGCAGACAGGTTTCTTCAGGTCACACTGAATACTTTATTAGCGATGTTCAGTTGGCCAGCAAGAAGTTCTTTACTTTGACTTTTTTGCGGCGACATTCTGTGCAGCCATCTCGCCTTCTTTGGAGGATGGAGCTGTCTTCGCCAACCCGATGGCTTGGCATGGCCAATTGAGTCTATGATAAATGCAGGTAAGATAGAGAAGAGATATAGAGAAGTAGAGAAGAGAAGAAGAGGAAGAGAGCGGTGCCCACAATTTCCCGAGCCAAGTTCCCGCTCCAGCCATATTGCGGCATTGCGGAATACTCGAATTGTTTAAATATTCTTAAACGTTATGATCTCCCTTACGGTTTTTAGTAGTTTTTAGTAGTCTTTTTAGGAGTCTTTCTTGAAGACTTCTCAGATATTTTATGTCTTTTGCATGTCTTTTCCCCCATGTTAGTGTTATCACCAGAATGAAAACAAAGCAGTCCACATCAACATTGTTATACTCGCGAATCTCTGGCCGTGACGATGTAGTCGATCGCCTTCTCGTAGAATCTCAATTCCCCAGCGCTACCAAGCCGAAGGTCAATTCTACCAACGCCATCCGGGGACGGTTCGCTGCCGAGGTCCATGGCGTAGCCAAGAACTGCATGAAGGGAATGTTAGAATTCGTCTTGCTAGGTTACTTTAAGTGGATGATAACAGTGACAAGGTGTAAGATATGATGTACCTAGATAAATATATGCACATATACCTGGATTTCTTGTAACTGTACAGACCTGGCCGCATAAATAGAGGTAGCTGGAAAGGCCTGCAATGGGCTGTGATGTATACATACCGATTTACCGTGTACAGATGTAGAGAATGTCACAGCCTAGTGAGCCCACATATACCCTTGCTACAGGTCGCCCTACTTTTAAAATAGATTGGGCCTCACTGCATTGTCAAAAGCACCTGAGTACTTCTTGGCTTGTTTTATCACGAGGACTGTTCTCCGGCATTCCCTACTTAAACGTCATAACATTATATCCTGATCCCTTTAACTTTCTCCAGGGACATCTTTTATCATTTTCTGCTTTGCCCGTTCTTGATTTTCCAACCATGTCGTCCGACTCGAACAGTTCTAAGTATATCCACATGAGACTACGGTGTATTAACCACCTCGCTGACTATTGCTAAAAACAGGTCGATATTTGCGAAGCCGCCAGTCAAGATCACCGTGGGCAGTGACGATCGTGTTTACTACGTGCACCGTGGGACACTCGAGATCCACCCCGCGTTCGATGCCCGACTGAAGGCGTCGACTGACGAATACGAGGACGCGATTGATTGGAGCGGTTTTGACGAGCAGACCATTGATTGTGTATTGAGGTTCCTTTACACTGGAGGCTATCAGGTGCCTCAAGCGACCTCTGTGGCAGTTGAGGAAGATGAGGCAGATGCGGGGGAAGAGGCCCGAGCGCAAGACGGAGAAGAAGAACAAGAACGACAGGAACAGGAAGAACAAGAAGAAGTAGTAGGTAATCCAGAGGAAGCAGATGAAGGAAACGGTAATGATCGAGCTTCTTACATCATCCCATCTCATTATCAAAAAGGGTCGAGACTGATACCAGATCAACCAATGCAGAAACACCGTCGCCACCAGAAAGCCCCCAGTCACAACCTTCATGGCCACAGTCCCCAACTCCAATATTTCGTGCACATGCAAGGTCACTGTCACCAGTTACAGAGTCCTCCATAGCCCCAGACTTGCCACCATCCCATGCCCTATCAGAGTACGACCTAAATGACCGACCCCTGACTCCTTTGGAATACCTCTATAGAGTCACTCCGACCACAGAGCACACTTCAATGCGAAAGGTCCCAGACCACGAGAAGCAAGACCAAGATCAAGAAGAAGAGCCAGAACAAGAAGCCGAGGGAAACAACGCTGCTGAGATTTATCTCCACGCTAAAATCTATTCCTTCGCACACCAACTCGACTTCGCAAAATTGGAGAACTTTGCTCTGAGTCGTCTGGCCCAGGTCCTTGTTGCCCTGGAGGAAACAGACAAGGCCCTATTCCCATACTTAGTGGATGCAATCAGATTGATCTATAGAACCACCGGTACTGTTGATGATGCGCGGAACTTGCTATCTCAGTTTGTCGCACTGCGATACACCACTCTGGTTGGTGAGGGCTTGGACGAACTTATCACAGAGGGAGGAGAGTTTGTGGTTGACTTGTCGCATAAGCTTGCTCGGAAGCTGACAACCATAGCAATGGCATTTAAGAGGGTTGAATATCTTACTCATAAAAATGAGGAGTTGAAGGCAGAAAGTGCAGAGAAAGATAAAGAGCTGAAGGCTTTGAGAGAGGAGGTTAGGCATGGACCGGCACATGGGTTTCCGGCTTTCACGTATCAGATTCGAAGTTGATATGGAGACCAATATAGTACACAGCTAGTGTCCAATGGACTACTGATGGAGATCCTGTCTCTTTTTACACTGCTCTCAAGTTTTAGGCAATTTCTTCATAGATAGATTCTAGTATTGACCTACCTTAATATGACGAAAAACCAGGTATGACGAGGCTATAGGTAAAAACCAATGGTAGTAAATTTCTATCTAAACAAAAATGATAATGGTCCGAATTTCACGGTCTGTGCGAAAAAATTACCGCCTAGCTTTTAAAGCTATTCCCAGGTCTCGGATCGCTTTAGAAGATTTATACCTTAAAAGCAGTAATGAACGGGCCGTTATTTATCTAACTCTTTCTCCTCCTTTTCTTTATCTTTACCGTCCTTTACGCTATCCTCCGACTCTTTACATATGTAGTTAGCTCCCGGCCAAGTAAGAACTTCTTAAACGCCAAGGTCGAAGTCTATACGGGTATATACTCCCTGTATCGCAGTATAACCTCTAAACTAGCATTATCGTCTTCATACTTATAGACGGAGATATTATCTATTTCATTTATACATCAATTTTTGCAATAATCGCCTGGTTCGCCTGGTTCACGTCCGTTCCGAATGGCCCGCACGGGAAGTCAAAAGTTAAGGTGTGGGGTCACGGCATTTCGCGGGACAATGCATATATGATGCATATATGATTGGTTGCTTCACTCCTATCCTCCGCTCTTAAACTCTTGCTCCACGGGTTCACAAAGCTTCCCGAAATTGAAGTATTTTATAATGAATTTTCACATAGGGATTGAACTATATATACACCACAAAGTGAACATCGCGTTGAAGAGACAGAGATTGCTGCATTATAATATTCAACGGACCTTGTCCCACTACATAGGGTGTGTCTGTATTTACCAGAATTGCATTCGACGCCTCTGGGATCTTGTCACGTAATTGAATCCAACTCTTGCTTTTGCTGTTCACGAGGCCCCAACGACAGCAACAGCTATACTAGATCACTCATAACCACAAATCTGCCAGCCAGCAGCTGTGCGTCGCAGGAAAACACGACCGAATGCTGCGGACTCCATACAGTTGGAGTAGACTGTCTCGGGTCGAGTTTCGGCCAGAGATGCACTATCGCTGTCCTCTTGATGGATCTGGCGAATCCATTCGCTCGTCACTTCCGCAGCTGTCTGGTTTGCAACTTGGGCATCATGAACGGAACCTTGAACATTGTCGCTACCGAAAGGTGAAGTAATCGTCCTGATGTTTCGAAGTTGCTTATTGATCAAAGTGCTGACTGCGGCAGATGCCGTCACGACAAGATTAGCAGCCCAGTCTCGCACTTCCTCGGGCAACTTTTCGATGATGTTTTCCGATGTTTCACCGACCCTATCCCAGGATTTACCCTGTTCGGCCTTCTCGTAATTGATAAAGTCTTTGAAAGCGGCCTGGATCTTTTTGTTATCCGTCTCCCCTCTAACACGCCGCTCAATTCGGTCAATCCGTCTGCAAAGATAAAGTAGTTGGAGACCCGATGAACCTCGAAAAGCCTATGAGTGATAGAGTGTAGACTTTTAAAATATGCACAGGCATAAGTCAGTCATCAAGATTATTGATGGTAACACGATTTAAAGGTCCCCATAGATATAGCGATCTTAGCACCGAAGGCAACCAGTGGCAGGATACCCTGAGCCCAGACCAAAGCTCGGTTAACATGAAGATCGTCGAGAAATGTCATATCGCATCGCTGAGTCTGCTTCATATACCTTCCAGATCGGGAAGAAAAGGCATCTAATCAAAAGTACAAATTGTGCTGTCGATCAATCCATGAAGACAAGATGAGTGGTGATCATATTTCGACTTGTGTCAAAGTATGTGTTGGACAAGAATATATAAACCCCCTTTTGCCCTCAGCTAAATCCTCATTCTCCATCACAGCGTCATCTATCTCAACCAACTTCGCCCCATTTCAGACCGTCAAGAAACCGTTCCAAGGTAAGCTCTGACTTAGTACCTGGACCGTTCGCTTTCCTAATACAGAACAACAGATCAAACATGGCCTCCACCGCAGTTGAAGTCGTCCAGCTTGACTGGCGCGTCAGATACAGCATCCGCATGTCTTTGTTGAAAGACTCCTCTCTGGAGGGCGACAGCTCCGTCTACGCCGCCCTCAATGTGCAGCCCATTTGAACGATTTCGATTGGTTGGCCACCGTCTACAAGAAGGCAGCAGCCGACGGTCCGGATGTGCTGGACAAAACCCAGCAAATTATACAAAGCCTGTAGAATGCCGCTGAAGGTGGGGCCAAAACAACCAAATCCCACTGCGACGAGATCAAGGACAATATGGATAGACTTCAAGTCCCCTGAAGGCAAGAAGAAGGGCAGCTGGAGAGAGCGACTCCACACCGACATTGCCGAACAGAGGCATCGAAGTGACAAGATGTGGGACGGCTTGGAAAAGTTTGGCATAAAACAGATTGAAAAGCTACCCGAAGACCTTCGAGACCATGTAACGGATATGTACACTGGACCCTCGGAGGTATCAATGGCTTTATAATCAAGGCCGTGAGGTGGTTGCAGGCTGCCTGGGAGAGTGTGGTCGATTGGTTCGAGAAGGCATGGGAAAAGATCAAGCAATTTGCCATCAGCGTGAAGGATTGGTTCGTGACCGCCTGGAAGACCATCAAACGATTCTTTGGCGCTCTTGTTTCCAGCGGCCCAGTCGACGACGAAGACGATTTCACCACTGTTGACTGTCTTCCAAACATTGAAGCCATCACCAGCAAGCTGAGGGACACCAACCTGGACAGTGTTACTCTGGTTAGGAAGGGTACCAGCTGGATGCTGGAGATTCCTGTCTAGTTCCTCATGAGTTTGGGATGGATTACTATCTACTAAGTAGTTTAGTATGGTATTCTATAGAGACAAGGGATCCGGCAAGGTAGGTATCATGGCAATGCTCTACAGGCCTGGTTACACATTCGTTTTACATAGAAATATATTCTATCATGAACGTGCTCGTTCATCACACAGATTCTAGGCGAACACTATTCTTTGTTCGAGGATCATGTTTTGTCGTCCACAACTTTAATGGATTTTCAGAATCAATATGCCTCTAGGATCATCAAATGAAGATGTACTGCACTCAGGACAAGCAACGCTGGGCAACTCAAGCTAAGATTGGTCTAAATATGAATGGCAAACAAAACTTCCATAGCAATGAAGTCAAAATATCATTCTTCTATCCAAGTATTGAGATGGTGAACTGCTTCAACATGGATAGAGTTGCCCGCTGTAGGAATTTCCCGTCATGCAAGAGCTCGCAAAAATAGCTTCTGCGATCAGGTACCTGACCATCGACGTCATTGGCATCTTATCCGATCAAGCTTCTGTGGGGTCGTTAGACTTACCTCCGAGACACTCCATGATGATCCCGCGATTCTTTCTGCGCGTACGAACGCTATTGGCAGCCTTGATACTCGCCATCTTTCTCACCTGGACAACATTGCGACATTTCAAAGCCTACATCCCCAATCTCTCATCTCCACAGCCCATCACCGACCTGACACCCTCACATCACCAATTCTGGCGGAAATTCCACGCCCTGCTAGAAAAGTATGCGCCTGGCACAGAGCCTATCATCGAATATGAGAAGGCGTCTACAGAAGGCTTCAATACCCACAATCCACCGCCGCGCCCAGATACCCTCTACGTCCCGGAGGAAGACATCCCAATAATGAAAGAAGCGCATGCTGGGTTCGTCAATGCAATCGCCAACTCCCCAACCGAGCTCCCTTACCTCCCCGCTACAAAAGGCATAGTCTCAACAGCAGGAGGCTCCTACCTCCCAGTGCTAGTGATATCCCTCCGCATGCTCCGCCGAACCGGCTCCACACTCCCGATGGAAGTCTTCCTCTCCGACGAAGACGAGTACGAAGACTACATATGCGATGTAGTTCTACCCTCACTCAACGCACGGTGCGTAGTTCTATCCCGGATCCTCATTGCCGCCCCAGTCCGAATCGAGAAATACCAATTCAAACCCTTTGCAATGCTCTTTTCATCCTTCGAAGAAATCCTCTTCCTAGACGCAGACGCCTTCCCCCTCGAGAAACCAGAACATCTCTTCACCACCGAGCCCTTCCTCTCGAAAGGAATGGTCACCTGGCCCGATTTCTGGGCTTCATCTGTCTCCCCACTCTTCTACGACATCGCAAACCACCGACCCCCACCAATGGATCTACGCCAATCAACAGAATCCGGCGAAGTCCTCCTCTCCAAAAGATCCCATCTCCGCTCCCTCCTCCTCACAACATACTACAACTACCACGGCCCCACACACTACTACCCGCTGCTCTCACAGGGTGCCGCCGGAGAAGGCGACAAGGAAACCTTTGTCGCAGCCGCGACAGCTATGCGCGAATCCTTCCACCAAGTCAGCGAGTCCATCTGCGCCCTCGGGCACGAAACCCGCAACGGCATGGCCGGCTCCGCAATGGCGCAGTTCGATCCCGTCCAGGACTTCGTCCTAACCAGTCGTGGGATATGGCGTGTCAGAGGCGATGATGCACCCGCGCCGGCCGTCTTCTTCATCCATGCCAACTTCCCCAAGTTCAATCCTGCGACTGTCTTTGAGATCCATGAGGTTACTCCTGCGTACACGGATGAGGGCGAGTATACGCGGGCTTGGACGTTGCCGGTTGATGTTGTACGGGGGTTAAATAGTAGGGTCGATGTCGAGAAGGGGTTTTGGGAGGAGATTCTTTGGACGGCTTGTGAACTTGAGGATAAGTTTCAGAGTTGGCTTGCATATGAGGGGATTTGTGACGCGGTGAAGGTCTACTGGGGTGCTGTCTTTGGGGTGGATTGATTGTAATTTTGAGCTGGCGGTCCAGCATACGGTATGACAAATTGAAGTATATCGCCCCGATAGTGCTCTTCTCTATTTTTACATGGGTCTTCATCAGAAAGCATACCGAGTGTCTTCCTCCCCTGGCTTCGTTTGCCTTTACTGCCTTGTGCAAAGCAGTGGTGGGACATTGAAATGATGCACTTGCATCGTGCATTCTGGCTCGCATATCCCCTCGGCAGAGCTGGGGTCAGACTTGGCTCGCAGCAATAGCGTCTGGCGACAGGATGGTCATTCTTCCCCTCCGGTAACAGCAGCTGTGGCCAAGAAGATATCACTCTTCCAAGGTTCTTATGTATGTAGTTATAGTGGCAGAGGTGCCCCGAGCACGTAAACATTTTAAAGAGCTTTTAAGAAAAATATAAAAGAATTCGAAGGACAGAGCTCGCCCACTGACTTCCACTTTCCTTTTATATGTATTTTCCATATATTTAGCGAAAACTTTCCATCTTTAAACAAGAACAACTTTTTTGCCTTTCAATTTTCACAACCAGTTTCCTTTTTTTTTTAAAAAAAAAGAAAGGACAAAGGAAAAGAAAAAAAAATTACTCCTCTGTCAGCAAAGGTTGCCCAATTCTCTCCCGCATCTTCCCCTTAGACTCATCTTTGTCGGTTCATACAGTGAGACCGATGCGTTCCTTCTGATCCTCACTGACTTCGTCGTAACGGATATGAATGCTAGTCCCGCGGTACAAAGCTTTCACTCCACGCATTCTATTGTACACAAGGCGAAGTGCGACCATGTGGAACTGAGGATTTTCCAGGTCTTTCATGGTCCACCTCTTCTGGGCGGGGAGTGTCAGGAGCGCCAAACGATGGCGATCGGCATCGTTTGGTTGAGTTCTGTCCAATCACCATTGGCGCATTGAAAGGGACCCATTTTGCTCATGCCCTTGCCATTGTCGTCAAAAAAAGACCAAATCGAAAGAATCGGCCACGAAATGATAAACCTTCGCAGATCCTCAGCCTTGGTAAAACCGACGTATCCAGCCAGCATGGTTTCCCGGCCCTCTGTCTTCAACCATTGGCCACGGTTGAGGTCGAGGGGAGAGCATCGACAGTCTTGTGTTGCCGGGTGAGAGAAGTCCGTTGGCGTTTGCCATTGGGGTGCCCTGATTATGGTTAGCCCAGGCCGTGCTTCAATAGTACTTTTGGGTATCACTGAGCTTGGGGTTGAATTGGTTGGACGCTTAGCCTTGCCTCCGGCCTTGCCTTTAGCCTTCGAGGCAGAGCTCTGTTCAAAAGTGTTAGGGTGTTAGCAGTGATCCGATATGACGATACGAGCCGGAAGTAATCCTACTTTTGGGGTCGAGCCAGCCATAATAGTGACTTGAAACAGGAACGAAATGGATGGATCGCAAATTGGAAATCGAGAATGAGTATGTGTCATAAACGGATATTGGGTTGAATCCTGCTGCGCACGAAATGAAATGTCAATGTTGAGGCATTGGAAAGTACCATGGAGTACGTACCCCTTTGTAAGAATATTGCGAAGCCAGGCTGTTACCAGGCGGCGGGACTGTGATAATTGATCGAGAATAAGAGATGGGTCGTTGTGAAGGCCAAGACGATGGATGAATGGAGAGGAAAAGACCAGAGCAAAGCAAGGAACGCGAGATGCTAGGCCTTTTCAGATGTGATAGATTTGAGCTTATAAACCCGTAAGTTGATAGAAATATAGGGGAACATGGGACAAAAGAAGTGAGGCTTACCTAGAAAGTAATGCTGATCTCAGAAGTGAGAGATGCGGATCTCGTAGGGTGTGAGGGTTGGATGGAAGGAAAAGCGCAGGGGAAATTGATCTGGGATACGATGGAAATGGAGGGCAAAAATCAGGTTTAAGAAAGCAGACCAGCCTATAGAAATGCTGGCAAAGAGATATGTTCATCCACAAGGCAATAAAGGACTAAGAAAGGGCGAAAGGACATGTAGAACCTGAGAAGCCCGACACCGAGTCGTCGTTTGCCCCTAAGAAAATTCCCGGGAACATATCCTTATCCGAAAACAACTCCATGTTCCGGAAATAGTACAGATGAGACTATTCAGCATGTATAGGATTCTCGTAAAGTGAAAAGTACTGTGAGGAGAAAAGCTGTCCAATCTCTTCATACATGGAAAGAAGCCCATGTTTATAGTTTCTTTTTATATTCCCTCAAATAACAGAATAGAAAGGAATTAATAACAATCAACAACATAAAGCTGGAATTGACTGGATGTGGGCCGAATTGAAACGTCGAGGCGCCAATATAGTGTGATAGTAACTCGAACACAGAAGAAGGCATAGCTATTATCAAACTACAGTCAGCTGAGGACATTACCTAGTCAAGGTTGCTTCAGTAGGAGTTAGGATTCTGGCAGATCCTGCTTCTGGATCCCTGAATTAGGAAAATGAAATGTTAATCACTGAGAATTAACTGGGATTTTCAAGAATTCTTTGCCAACTGAGCAATACAAAAATTGCTGCGAATTATTCAATAAAATTTCCTTGGTCGAGATATTTAGAACGGACGTTTGATCTACGCTATCTCAAACCTGCAGTACGGGGGATTGATATACGGTGTCAGAGACCTACTAGATGCCTTCCCAGAATTGATCCAGTCCTCGACTTGCTATGCCACTCACTGTTCGATTGTTTCGAAACCAACGAAAAGGACTTCTCTTACGCGCCTAGGACGACCCACGGAGCGCTAGATCTGAGCTCCCAGCTGGTCTTTTATCTACTATGGACAAATGCTTAAAACGTACATTCAAGAGAGATATGCTATACTGGTATCGGCTCCCGAGACGTATTTCTGCACCCAATATTTCCTGGACTCTTCTTTGACTTATTCATCCTTAATTTGTAAATGATAGTATTTAGCTCATGTTGCGAAACTATAGGCACCGGCGGGGCTATATCTGTTCAATGATGAATTCCCAGATTTTGTCCTACAATTTTCTCTGCGGCTGGTCACAAGCGGGCGTATGGGAGTGTCCATCCCAAAAGTCGAGGAAAATTTAATTCTCATATGTTCTAGCATGATTTGTTTCGTGCTTTAGCCCCAGCCGATATGCAACAACCTGGGCCAAATGTTGATCTTCTCTTTTGGATAGTCCTTTCCTCGGAGAAGCAGTCTGAGACAGTTATGTAGAATGACGTTTAGCCCAGCCTACTTAAGAGCAGGCTCTGATGCAATGGACTCATATACTAGGCCCCGGGGACGTCTGAAAACCGCCCGTTAGAGTTTCTAATGACGGGGGGAATTGATAAGGAGAGTTCCGAATAGAATGTCACGAAGATTAAGCTATTTCCGTTTATAAAAGCTTAAAGGGATTCCGAGGCGTGGCCGGTGGCTCGTTTCTTACTGACCGTTCTCCGTAGAGAAACAGACTTGCTTACCCGTTCCTATAAATCCCATATCTTGCTTAGTATCATAGATGGATCTTACTAACAGAATACGTGTTGGATGCATCTGCACCGATTCTTCAATTATTTCTTAAGCAGAACGTCCAAAGTCACAATAGTACTTTTTGTGGACAACAAGATACTGTCTTTCTAGATACCACTTTCTTATCTGAGACAATGTACGTATGTAGTACATACTATATAACTACATATATCTGCTATATTTCTAGTTCTCTGGTTCTCTGACCCGCTACCGTTTCTTCTCTCACTAACAATATCAGTAAGGGTTTCCCCGTTTGTCAGGACCTGCTACATACATACAGAAATACATACACGTACATACATGCATGTATACGGTGGGTAGCGAGCGCCCGCGGGCAGTAACGTACTTTTTCTGCCAGGCCAAATTCGGGCATTCAGGCATCAACTTCAAGTTCCGAACCCCCCAACATTCAAGGTTAGTGACCCGTTTCCTAAATAGGCTTAGTAGCGAATCAATTGCGCTATTCACGGGTGGAGCCATTTCCTAAATAGGCTTAGTAGAAAGTGACTTCCATAGTTCTTATCAATGGATCCAACCTTGGAAGGTTATATTCTCAACCATTTCTCGCTTTCCTCTTTCCCCTTCAACACGCCTTCCTTCTGTGCACTTTCCTTCATCCACTCTATCAATGGATCCAAAGCCGTCGCACTTGCTCAATCTCTCACTTTCCTCTTCAGAACATCTTCTGCGCACTTCCGTTCATCTCGATCTCGGCCCAAGATGTCTGAATGCGACTTCTCACTCTGTGAGCACAACTGGTCTCTTGCAAGATATCTTGGTTTCCCCATCCCATCGCCCACTTCCGTGTCGCCTCCTCCATCTGATAAAGAAATGTCTGATTCCATCCCAAACACAACGCCTCCAGCCAAAAGATCTGTCCGAACCCCCACGTCCAGCCCGACGTCCCGGCGCAAACGTCAGAAGCCATCCTCGTTAGAAACTACTCCAACTCCCTCGACCGTTAATTACAAGTCGACCGTTAGTTACAAGTCGCCTGACTATGTCCGTGAATTGATAGCGAGAGGTGTACAGCAATCCAATCGAAAGCCAACAGAATACCACATGATGGTAGAACAACTCGAGAAACGTCCAGTGAATTGGCAGGACCTTCCCAGCAAAACCCTGGATTCCTTCGACGTAGTCATTCGGAGTGCCGGAAATGAAGGCAGTATTCAGGGGGGCATTGTCCCCCTCTTGATGGACTACATTGGGTTGACATTAAACCCAGACACACTGGCCGTAATGGACATACCATTTAGCAGACAGTGTCAGCTCCCTGTCCAATTTCCACTCGATGAAAACTCCAAGAGCATCCCAGCTCCGTACCCTGATGTCTCTGTTGGTCTCCGTCGAAGTCAGTTCATGGATTATGAACCAGCCCTTTACCAGCTCAACCACATTGCGTCGCCCATTTCAAAGACTCCGGAACTTATTTTCCCATGCTTTTCTCTCGAGGTGAAAGGTGACAGTGGAGGGATGGATGCAGAGACACAGAACCGGCACAACACAGCAAACATGTTGTTCAACCTGAGG